TGGGAGAAACAGATCCATCAACACATAACCGGAGATACACATTAATTACCATAAAAGTTTATAATGCCAGGATTTCGCAATCAAATATGCTTGCGTTATTATAGCTATAATAGAGTTATACATATAAGGCACGAGACAAAATTTGAAATTAAAGGAACTTCTATCTTACATATCGCAGTTGCGGACTTCGATGAAAGACGGCAGAAACTCAGTACTTTTATAAATTTTTTTCATATTTTTATATTACCTTTAACGGATTCCCCAGTAACATGATCTCAGCAACTAACTGTTATATTATTATACTTGCAATATAATGGTTATAGTGGCTGAAATGACATTACTGGGGAGCCTGTTAAAAGTTATATAAAAATATGAAGAAATTTTCATAAAAGTACTGCGTTTCTGCCCGTCTTTAATCCAATTCTGCAACTGTAATATGTAAGACCAAAGTTGCGTTAATTTCAAATTGTGTCTCGTACCTTACGTAACTATAACAAAGCAGCCATCTTTGGTTGTGAAATCCTGGCATTATGATAATTAATGTCCTGAATTTCTCGTAATGAAAGGAAGGATGCTAAGGAATCTCCTGGAGCACTGGGTCATTTCATACACAGGCAGGTTCAGTTCCTTGAAAAGACAGAATAATATACCATAACAAACCGGCTACTTTCACAAATTACTGGCGTACATCTCAAAACACGTATTAAGTATACCTTGACAACAGTAAAACTGCAAGATTTAGACTTTAAACAATGTTGTCGTTTAGATATGGGTGTAAATATGTGTATTTGTGTTACCACAATGGTAGTCGCATTTTATACACATTTTTTACACTGAACTAGTGAAATGTCCTTGTGGGAAGACTTTGTTTTTTTTCATAATTCGGGGTTTTTTTGTTTTTTTCGACTTTCTGATGTGTCCTGAACTGTTCGAGTTGTGTTTTTCAATGCGATTTACAAAATTTCATTAGGATCCTCATTTTCAGATGAAAAATTATGATAAACATTCTGTGGACTCGCTCTGAGGCCACACAATGTGCTAAGTCCGCGTAAGGTAAGGCACAAACTTGTGGGAGCTCCCACAATGTGTGTTTCACAGATACTTGCATGTACAAGAATTTTTCCATAATGCGAACTTGCATTTTATGTCCACACAGTGCTACACCTGTAATACACGAGGACCGCACAATGCTTCTGCTTTGTTCATGAAAGATACACAATTTTATTCAGCTAGCATGGCGCAGTTAAGACATTATACATGTTTCGATCAATAATGAAATGCTGATATAAGCTTCCAAAAGCTTGCAGCATTCCAAAAGGGACCTTAAGCATGTAGGACGGGGGCACGACGACGATATTATCAATACAATAGCTCACTGAAAATAATTAAATTATTAGCCCAATATTCTTGACGTGCATCTCGATTTCAGCGATTTTTGTTGGTCAGGATTATTTTTTGAGCACACGTACCATAGTACTGCGGTTTCATCCTATACGAATGCGTAATATTCGCGATCTCAACTCGGGAAAAAATTGTCATCAGCATTCAGCACAACTATGCACGATACAATATTGTATAGTTTGTCATTATGTAAACAAGATTAAGTTTTTTGACGCGCAATATTGCCATTACTATCTGGAAGTACTACGTGTATTCATTTACAGCATTTCACTTATAATTTGTAATTCTAGTTGTGGGAGACGTAGGACGCAGTGAGCGGTACCTCGAATTAGGCTCTCAGAATTGTTCCCAAAGATTAACATAATGTTTTCAACGTTTTATACCTGAATCAATTGATACGATTGATAATATACAACAACTCTTTACCATAGTATTTATTTAAAGAAATGTCTAAGTCGCGTCCTCGTTTGCCGTCTTACATTACATGTACATGCCATTGAACTCAAAAGAACATCCAAAGAAAATTCCAAATTTGTATTTTTGAATTTTTAGAGTTTCAGCTTCCTTTACACTGATAACAAGTTTATCTTTCATGATTTGATCACCTCACCCATGTTTTTAGCCTTCTGTTTTGATCGGCGAAGCAGTTGTTGCAAATTACGTATTTTCTTTGTCAGTTTTTCCTCTAATGTATCCCTTTTTTCTTCAGGTAGAGGTTTGGCAACTTTGGCTGGTGGTACCAGGTTTTCTTCATCAAATGGATAGAATGGCCCCTTCTTCGTCTCTTTCTGTCCCCTTAATGATTCATCTGGAAGTGATGGAGCTTTGTATTTTGGATTGAGTCTTGATGGTAGCTATAGCATGATTTTTTAAACGGCATGTTCTACTTGAAGGATAGATTATTTAGTCGGTGGTTTTAAAGTGGTCACTGCATATACGGCTATAATTTGTTGCCCTCCATGATGCGTATTTATTAGCTTCTTGAACAAAACATTCCCAGTTTTCTAAGTCGTCTACATTTTTCTTTGGAAATCTAAGACGATTGCATATAAATAAATTTTGAGCTTCTATTGCCATTGCCCATATATCAAAACATTTTTGCTTTTTATTTTGCAGATTTGACTAATGATTCTTTGAATCAAAATATTGTTTTGCTAGAAATTTACCTTTGTATGATTGTATATAAAATTGAATATATGGGATAAACGTTTTGTTTCTTTTGTTTTTACTATATAATTTATTGACATGGCTGTCATTACCTGTGGAAAGCAATGGTATTTTCTTCTTCATTGTGAGAAATGCCTTTGTTTTTGCACCCATGAATGACGCATGTAAGTGGCATGTTTTTTTTTACAATACAATTTAACGCAATGGATTTTTTAGGCCTCTTAAATTGCTTTTCAGCTTTGTTAAAAATTTTTTTTCTGAGTAACTCTCCAGTAAATCTGCACTATGAGCTTCAATGAAGGACTGGGCAAGAAATGTTTATCTTTTTTTTGTTATTATCTACCATTAAAAGGTGCAAAACATAAAACTGAATTGTGGTTGGTAGTTTAATTTTTATTAGAATTCCTTTTACCAACTTTCAGAAGTAATAAGTTGAAAAATGTCTGGGGAAAATGGGGAAACACATGAATTTAACAATGCAGCTGCACTGATCGTTCGACGTTTTTCATTCAAAAAGGCAGTTAATTACGAATTCCTTACGGATAAGTTTAAAATATATCACTCCGTAGTGTTGACGGAGATTTAAAATAAAATAAAATGCCGATGGGAGTGCATTTTACGTCCACTTGACGATATTTTTTACGTCTTTCATGTTGAACCATTGTTTTGTTTTGGACATTTAAAAAACCCGCGTATATCTGTTGCGTGGAAAGAATGGACACGACCCCCAAGATTTAGCTTCAAATTTCCGGCCGGAGATAGCCTTCCAGTTCTTTTGAGTTCAATGCTCTGTAGTGATGTTAAACTGGCGTCAAAGAACATGGTCGCCATTACAATCAATGCTAGACTATCGTTATGGAACTTCATTTATTTATAACAATCATATGACATAGCTGGGGGTACTGTGGTTGGCCTGGCATTGTTGATGATATTAGAATGAATATTGACCCAAACCCTGATCTCTTAACACCCTGGAGTGACTGTCCTGTTAAACTACCTGATAAGTTGAGATACCACAGCAGTGTGCTGTATAATGATCAGTTGATAGTCTCTGGAGGTGATAATGGAAATGTTTCATCTGACTCGATCAGAGCCGTCAAGCTTGTTCCTCCCTATACTGTGAAGACCTTATCAAGAATGCCACAACCAAGAAAAGGTCACGTACAGCATGGAAATATTTGATGATAATTTGTTGATAGTTGGTGGAAAAACTGACTATAACAAAGACAACCTCAGCAGTGTCTTACTGTACGATATAAAGAAGAATGAGCTGAAACAGTTGTCACCGCTGCCGTATGAAGTGAGTGAGATGGCATCTGTGAGATGGGGAGATAACATTGTTGTTATTGGTGGCCTTGACAAACAATGGCAGCCATTAGATACAGTTATCATTTACAATATCAAGACAGAACAAAGTCACATGCTGCCTGCATCGGACATCCTCCGATTTTTTCAATCCATTAAACTATATAGCAAAAACTCACGTCTCAAACGAACGAGGTTTTCGACTATGTCGTCTCTTAGTCTTTCAAACCAATAATTCTTAGGTTTCTATATTCAATTAACTTATCTCTTCTACAAGTTCACTGTATTCTTCGCGACTATTTTTTCAACAAATACATATTTGCTGGGCAGCTTAAATAGTGTTCTATACACGCATAAATTAGCATAGGTTAAGTAAACGTCCAGCCATTGGTAGCTACACTGCCATCAATGAGATGTAAGAGGAGAGGATGTACTGCAGTTGTTATTGAAAACAACATTGTAGTCCTGGGAGAGTGGGGTGAGCCTTTAGTGCTAAAGTCAGTTGAATGTTTCAACTTTGAAAGCTATTCTTGGGAAGAACTTCCAGAAATGTCTCAAGCAAGATTGTGGCCCACTGCTGTTGTTGTGTGAACAATATGTAAAGTAACAAGTGAAAACTCCTAACATATTATGAACAATTGAAATGAACTATAAGATTTTCACAAAGGTTTAAAAATAGATTGTAGCATTCTAAGTTGATTGTCAGACATCTCCTGATTTATATTTTTGTGATAGAATTTAAATTGAGTCAGTTCTTAGAACAAAAACAAATCTTTGAAATAGATATTTTCATTGAAGAAGGTTCAAAATGAAACACCAAATAAAACATTTGAAATAAGCTTTTCTGCACACCCTCCACCTAGATTTTTCACCCCCCCCCCCCACATAGGTTTTTCAGCGACAACCCCACCCCTCCCCAGCTGGGTTCTTCTGTCCCGGTCCCACACCGAGAATCCTAACTCAGCCTCTGCCTCAAGAAATAGCTCAGTTACCTATTTTAAATATCAGCCTGTCTGTAAATGATGTCTGTGTCTGTCAGACTGCCACAGACCAAGTCATATTTTAAAATTTAACAAATAACAAGTTTTGGAGAGATAGTTTTACTCTTTATTAAAACAGAACCCTGATTAACTAATATAAATTGGTTTGTTAAGTAAAATAAAATTCTTGTTTCAAGTTTGCTCACAGATTGTTTTGTAATTTCACGTTTTCCATCGCGTCCTTGAAGGCTTTTAGTAAAAGATTTACATTATCTTTTGTACTGTTCAACCCCATCAGACCAACAACGCCATATCTGAAAAATTTCATGACAAAAAGTACGGTTTTTCACAGGGGAAAAAAATTACGATTATTGAGGGAATATCTGCGAATATGGAGAAGAAAATTATGAATATGGATACCTTTCCAGCAGATCTTCCAAGACCACTTGAAATATCCATTTTATATCTGAAAAAGAAATTGATTTTTCAATTTTAACACTCTCCCTCTTTATTGGACCTCTATGATCACCCCCCTGCAAGTGTTAAAAATGTGGCTGATAGCATGGGGGTAGTTCTTCCCAAGATTCATCACTCAGCAAGTACCGTTAATGGAAGCCACCACCCACCTGCCCATATTGAAAATGGGGCTGTTGGCAGGAGGGTGATTTCCTCCATTCACAGTACTTGCTGAGTAACGAAACCACTTATGCAAAAAACTATGGAGTTGTTCTTCTGATAGGTATTCTGTGCCTATACTTTCTTTTATTTTATTGTATTTTTATCTTCACTTGAAAGCACGACATGAAATTACCATTTAGACCTAACCCGGGGGGTGACGGGAGTCAATGACCAAATTCATTACTCATTCTGTTTCGAGAAATGCATTATAGTTTAAAATTTAGTTTAGCCGAATTCATATTAGAGGCAGGAAACTCGTCTTACAAGGTCAAGGAAAATAGGAAACTCGTCTTACAGGGAAAACTCCTCTTGGAAAGTCATCTTAGACGGGAAACTCGTCTGATGTGAATCAGGCCACAGACGGGTTTCTCGTCAGAATTTTCTCGCCGAACTTTCCCGTCTAAACAAACGGTTAATTTGAACGGGAATCCCTTCTGGACGAGGAACACGTCTTAAATTCGCATTTAGACGTATAAATCAGACGAGTTTCTGAAATATCAACACGGTCAAGGACGGAACAAGGGTAAAGCCCGCCGCACAAGAGAGCTATCAGCTGAGCTAACGACCTCGCGAGGCAGTTAACTCAGCCTGAAACTATCCGCACACGATAGAAACTTGCCTCTCGAGGCGAATTCCTCACGAAAAACTATCCGCACACGAGAGTAACTTGTTGAGCTAACAGCCTCGCGAGGTCTTTACCTCAGCTACCAGTTCTCGTGTGAGGCGCGCTTAACTGAGAAAATAAACAAAATTATTATCGTAATAATCACGATACCCTTTTTAGCATTACCCGACCCATCACACGTGAAAACTTTATATCCATTTCAAGTCATATTAAGACGGGTTTCTATAATCAACTTTCCTGTCTAAGATGAATTTCCCGTGCCTAATATGAATTTTGTTACTAATGTGAGAGAAGATACCTTCGGCTTATCAGGTTCCTTGAATATACAATCCATGGTTATATGGTTTGTTATTGTTTGAATAAGAACGTGATTTTCGTCAAATCTTCGCAGCAAATGGTGTCATGACAGAACTCCCTGGTTTGCAAATTATGTCGACACCATTGTGTGTACGAGAGCCTCTGTATAATGATAAATTCACGTTAATTTAACTGTTTTGTAAGATTATAAGAATATTATCGATTCGCTGTGTTGCTACAAGGTTACATCTGGTCTTACCTTGGTGCTCCGAAATCACCACAGCCCTGACTGTCACATCCACGGATTGAATTTCTACCATTTAAGCTGCAAAGCTGACCAAGTTTAAAACATTCAACCGCATTATCTAGAAAAATAAATACAGAAAAATACGATGAAGAATAACGAAGTGACACTTGAGAATTCTATAAACAAATATATATCACAATATGTATTCCAGTACCTGCAAAGACTAGGAATATAACAACGACCTTAACAATTCCAAACATCGTTCATCAGCTAAAATTTAATCTTCTAGCTTGAAATGGCTTTTCATCGATATAATGACCGCACTTTACATACAGGATGTTTGAAAAAACGTAACACTTAATATTCATGAATATTTTGATACGCTATACGATCTTTTGTGATCAAAACGAAAGTATCATTTTCGAGAAGATTTCGAGAAAATACAAACACAGACTTCTCCAAGAACGAACACGGTATCTATATTCAGTCTATACAGCGAGGTTTATACTACAGAGCGACAAACAACACAGAACTTGCTTTATTATTACGACACAAGAACGACGTGAAATATGGCTTCATATATACAAGGCTACGATGAAGAAAGGTTTGTGGACAAAGTTAATCAAAATTTTCATTGCCAGATTTGCTTCAACGTCTTGAAAGAGCCAGTTATGTGTTCGAGGAACCAGCATTCTTTTTGCCGTTGTTGTATTACGAAACATCTGGAAAATTCTCAAACATGCCCAACGTGTGCTGATGAACTGACCGTAGAGACTTTGATCGAACCACCGCGAATGGTTAAAGATTTTTTGAATGAATCAAAAATTCGCTGCGTTTACATCGACAGAGGTTGTCAAGAAGTTGTAGAATTACAGCATCTTGACCGCCATGAAGTTACATGTGGATATACACCAGCCGTTTGTACAAACCAAGGCTGTGGTTTAATTGTCAACAAGCGTGATCTTATTCACCATGAAAGTGAAGTCTGTGAATTCCGAAAGTTGAAGTGTCACTCGTGCGGAGAAATAACGAAAACTTTGGCAGATATGGAGGAAAGAATGGCGAATATCGAGAAGAATAATGTAACAATTGAAACTAAAATAACAAATTTAGAGCGAAATGTTGCACGGAATATCGAGAAAAACACGGCAGATTTAAAAGCAAATATAAAAGCAGATATGGAAGGAAAACACAAAGCGGTTAACAACAAAGTTGATGGATTGAAAACAGCTTTGGTCAGAGCTTTTGATGAGATGAAGGACGTTCTTATTACGATGGAGGGCAAGATAGAAGAAAACACAAGAAAAGTAATAAATAGATCAAGTGGTGATAAGGAAAATATAATTGTTGCTGGAGGTTTTTTGACTAACTCTGTAGAGATGTTTAACTGGCGTCAAAGAACATGGTCGCCATTACAATCAATGCCAAAGGATCGTTGGGCAGCAACTTCATTTATTTATAACAATCATATGACCATAGCTGGAGGTTGTGCTGGGTCTGACATTGTTGATGATATGATTAGAATGAATATTGACCCAAACCCTGATCTCTCAACACACTGGAGTGACTGTCCTGTTAAACTACCTGATAAGTTGACATTCCACAGCAGTGTTCTGTATAATGATCAGTTGATAGTCTCTGGAGGTGATGATGGAAATGGTTTATCTGACTTGATCAGAGCAGTCCAGCTTGTTCCTCCCTATACTGTGAAGACCTTATCAAGAATGCCAGAACCAAGACAAGGTCACTGCATGGAAATATTTGATGATAATTTGTTGATGGTTGGTGGAAGAACAACTGGTGATTATAAAGACAACCTCAGCAGTGTCGTACTGTACAATATAAAGAAGAATGAGCTGAAACAGTTGTCACCACTGCCATATGAAGTAAGTGATATGGCAATTGTGAGATGGGGAGACAGCATTGTTGTTATTGCTGGCGTTGACAAACATGGCAATAGATTAGATACAGTTATCATTTACAATGTCAAGACAGAACAAACTCACATGTTGCCATCAATGAGATGTAAGAGGAGGGGATGTACTGCAGTTGTTATTGAAAACAACATTGTAGTCTTTGGAGGATCTGGTGAGCAAGGACACCTGAAGTCAGTTGAAGGTTTCAACTTTGAAAGGTATTCTTGGGAAGAACTTCCAGAAATGTCTGAAGTAAGATGGCGGCACAGTGTTGTTGTTGTGTGAACAATATGTAAGGTATTAAGTGGAAACTCCTAACATATTATAAACAACTGAAATGAACTATAAGATTTTCACAAAGTCATAGAAATAGATTGTAGCATTGTAAGTTGAATGTCAGACATATAGTGATTTGTATTTTTGTGATTGAATTTAAATTGAGCCTGTTCTTAGAATTATATATATTAATTAAAGAACAATGACAAATGTATGAAATAGATATTTCCATTCAGGAAGGTTTAAAATGAAACATCAAATAAAAGAATTCAAACCATAGGTAGGCGCATGAGTGAAAAAAAAAATCATTAAATATTGACCATGTTGGATCAGAGTTATTATAGTTTCTATTAACTGCGGTTTGGATTTAAAAAATTCAACTTTTCTAGAAGCATAAATATTTCTGAGAGGAGACATAAAATGAAAGGGTAAACTTACAATATTTCAGAGCATGTGATGCAGGGTATATTTCTGATGTTAGATTTCAACATTGATAATGTTGCTTGTTCATCTCTACCATGATGTTCCCCACATTTGAAATAAAATTCCTTTGAAAGAACAAGAAGTTTGTGACCTACTTTAGTAATTTACTCTGTCTAATGCCAGATGATTTTACACATCAGTGGAAGAGTACTGTCAGTTAATAAGTTAACAAAACGATCTGTCTGTGTCTCTTGTTAACCCATTAGCTTGCAATGCACCCAGATGTGGCCTACTTTAGTATTTTACTCTGTCTAATGTCAGATTATTTTACTCATTAGTGGAAGAGTACTGTCAGTTAATGAGTTAACAAAACTATCTGTCAGTGTCTCTTGTTAACCCATTAGCTTGTAATGCACCCAGATGTGGCCCACTATTGTATTTTAGGTGCATAATAGGTGAATAACTTACAGCTGTTGTTCCCTGACAGTTTGTATTGGATTCACATTGTCCCTGCATGCAGCTTTTGGTCAATGCATCGTCCCAACCATTTGGACCCTTGCAAGAAACCAAAAATATTGTGTAAACAAGATGTTTGTTTACATTCAAAAGCTTTCACAGCAACCTTGTAAACAAGTTGTAACAATGTCGACATTTTACAAAGTTGCACATAAATCTGCTGTGGTTTTTTACAAGTTGTTCATAAGGAAACAGTAAATACCTTTGATAGAACAAAGCATCCTTCCTTGCAATTTGAACATCGACATCGCAATTTTCCTCGTGTTAGTTTCTTGCAAGTTTTACAGTAAACAAAGAAGAAACTTTGCTTGCCTGAGATGATAGAAGACGAAAAATATGGATTATTAAAGAAGCCCTGGTGTTAGAGAGATGAGTTTATTAAAAAGAGCGGCCTAATATTAGAGAGAGGGGCTTATTAGAGAGAGAGGGGCTTATTAGAGAAATGGGGCCCTATTAGAGAGAGAGCAGCTTATTAGAGAGATAGGGGCCTATTAGAGAGAGAGAGGGGCTTATTAGAGAGAGAGGGTGGGGCTTTATGGATGAAGTATAATAAGATTAGGGGGAAAGCCAGGGTAGAGAAAGCCCCACCCAGGGGTTTCTCCATGAGGAAAATGCAAGGGTATCAAGCTGGGGATAGGGGTTTATTGGAGATGGACAATTAGATAAGTGGTACATTAGGTACTGTATTAAAGGACATCCAGGTAAGGGGGTATGGGCAAGGGGTTAATTAGGAAAAGGGTTTTTAGAGAAGAGGCATATTAGAAAGGGGCATGCTAGTAGGGAAGAGTATAGGGTATTAGCTATAGAGGGTTAATTAGAGAGGGAAATAAGAAAAGAGGTACATTAGGGAGGGGCATACTATTAGGGAATAAAATAGAGAATGATTTGAGGGTTAATTAGAGAGGAATATTAGAAAAGAGGTACATTAGGGTAGGGCATTATGAGAGAGAGGAATAGAAAGTTATTTGAAGGTTAATTAGAGATTGCTATTGAGAAAGGGTTATTGGAAAAGAGGTGTATTTGAAAGGGATAAAATACAAGGAACAGACATGAAAAAGAGGTTATAGTGGATTAACTAGAGAGAGGTTTATCAGGAAAGAGGTTTATTAAATCAGGTCATGAACGTTGCGGGAACATACTGGAGGTATTTATTGAGGGTGTGAAATTAGGAAGGTGAGTAAACAGGGCGGGGTCACACTATTTAGAGATTTATGAAAGATCTCGTCACCATCTGATTGTTCAGATTCACCTCGTCATCTTGTGTCAGTTTGACTTTCGTCAAATCATCATTTGCATTGTAAGTTGCATTAACTGAGAGCTGACCAGATTTCTGAACAGCATGAATGACGCTGTGGTTCATCTCTGCATTCTAGAAAAAAAACACAGTTTCAGATCTCTGAAGGCCAGACTGATTGTCGACTGATGGCAATTTAAAGACTGCTTTCCATTAAGTTAACTTTGCCTGCATGGGTGAAGCAACCTTCGGAAAAATCTGCAGGTGCAGTTGTGACATGCCTCAAGAAAGAGCAGGCAGCGCCGTAGCTAGAAGCTTAATTGACCTTTTTCATAATGACGTCAAAGGATGAAAGTCTAATGTTACAACGAAGTTTCATTGGTTCAATAGTTTTGTGGAGCCAAATGTATTTTATGTTGTATTTCTTTTTTCTTATACTTCCAAAAAAGTCTAGCTACTTGAGATTTACATTTTAAAGATCGCCATCTTGAATTCTATCCATCTAATGTTCCCCCGCGACCCTTTTTATCCTTTCACAAGTTAATTATCATAAAATTACAATATATATAAATAAACATACATTATCCCCTATTTTTTGCTAGATTTTTAAAATATTTAAAAGTCCATTTAATAATATTAATATTTTCTCTATTTGTATTTTGGATTTGGTTTTCTTATTCGTTGACTACGTCTTAATGGAGGTACAAGTTCGTTCTTTTCGAAATAGCTATTTCCATCAACTTCCTCATCCATCTCTGCCCACATAATTTCTTCTGGCGCTTCCTGATCATTCTGCTTACATAATTTAAACGGCTTAATATCGTCTGGGTGACGGCACAGCGTTAACCCGCTTTCCTCTTGCTCTACGATAATCTTGTTTCCTGCTTCATTTATGTCAACGATCGTATATGGTTGTTTGAGGAAAACAGGATCAAATTTTGCCGCTTTGTTGTAATTTCTAACCAGAACTTTTTCGCCAATATTAAAGTTGGATTTCTTCCTATATTTGGAGCCGTTGACATCTTCTTCAAGATCAGATTTTCTATTCCTATCTTCTTCTCGTGCTTTCCTAACATCTTCCTCGGTCACATATCTTCTTGGAAAATCTGAACGTTGCCCGTCTCTGAAGAGCATGGCCGCCGGAGGAAGACCAGTTGCTGGATGGGGTGTTTGTCTATAATTATTCAATGCTCTTCTTAGTGTTTCTTTTTCTGGGACTCCATTCTGATACCCGATCTTCATCGCCTTGCCCAAAGGTCTCATAAACGTTTCAACAGGGTTCGAAGAGGGATGAAGAGGAGGTGTGTTCTGCAGCTCAATGGATTTATCTGCTGCGAACTTCTGCATCCGAGAACTATTAAACGGGGGACCGTTATCCGATATTTGAACCTCTGGATATCCATATGTTTCATAGATTTCATTTAATGCGGGTAGAACTTTGTCTGCTTTCGTCGATGTGACTAATTTCGCTGCAGGGAATCTCGTTGCTAGGTCTTGTACAACGACGACATGTTTCGATGACGGCATCGGCCCAAATAGATCGACTGCGACCGTGTCCCAACATTTTTCTGGGACTCGATGTGATTTGATCGGCTCTTTGGTCTTCTTATCAATAAACAAAGCGCAGCCATCGCATGAATTAACAAATTGTTCCACCTTCTTATTCATATCGTGGAAGAAGAAGTGGTATCTAAGTCGTATTTCCAATCCACTTTGGCCGGGATGATTTCCTCTATGCGCGATTTGGATTGCTAGATCTTGGAGTTTCTTTGGCAAAACAATTCTTTCATCTTTAAATATTATGCCATTTCCTGTGATCGTCAGCTGCGGTAAGATGCTCTTAAAACGCTGCACTTCAATTGATTCTGTCTTTGGGATCCAAGTCAAATTTTGATTAATGAGCTCCCCTACTTTCACAAGGGTTGGGTCGTCTTTGGTAGCCTGTGCAATAGCAGCGATAGTTATGCAATCATGACTGGAGTAGTGTGCAGCATGTATAACAGATTGTTCAAATCTTCTGTTTCCTTTTGTTCCCCTTTTGGTAGCTTCTCCAGCGGTTTGGCGTGTCGTGATAAATAGTCGGATTGGTTAATTTTCCCTTTCTGGTATGTGACAGTAAACCGAATATCCTGGTGTCGTAACTTGATCCTCTCCGTTCTGATTGATCCTTGTCGTTTGCCATTGAAGATCGCGCATAATGGCTGATGGTCGGTTATCACTTGTACTTTGGTTGGAGAACCAACAATGTAGTTGCGGAATCTCCTCAAGGCAAAGTCAATGCCGAGAGCTTCCAAATCTATTTGCGGATATCTTTTCTCTGAGGAATTTGTTGTTCTTGATGCTATTGTCACGAGTCTTGCATTCTCAACGCTGTCTCCCTGTGCTAACATTGCTCCAACTCCCGTCTTGTGGGCATCGGTAAATATGAAAGTTTGTTTACTCATATCGAAATATTGGAGCAACGTCATTGGAGCAAATCCTTCCAACAGAACCTCGTAAGCAACTTGATGTTCTTCGGTCCATATGAATCGCGCGTTTTTCTTCGACAGCTCCCTCAATTTTGCTGCTTGTTGTGCAAAGTTTGGGATGAAATCTGCGTTTGATTGCATCATACATAGAAAACTTACTAGATCTTCTTTGGATTTGGGTGGTGATATGTTGTTAAGTGCTTCTACCTTCGCCGGACTTGGTCGTATTTCCGTTGAACCGATACGTAATCCCCAGAATTCAATTTCTGATGCTCCAAAAGTACACTTATTTGGATTGAGTGTTATACCAGCAGTAGATATGACTTTCATTACTTCTTCAATTACCTTGTTATGCTCTGCATGATCCCTCGTTGCCACTATCAGATCGTCGTGTATGAGATGTGCTTGCGGAATATTGGCAAACAAAGGTTGAAGGGCGACATTAAGCTCTCCTTGGGCTGACTTCACGCCCATTGTAAGACGTTTATATCTGTATAACTTGTCATTCGCATGGAAAACTGTTAGATATCTCGAGTCCGGATCAAGCTCGATTTGCCAGAATGCCGACTTAAAATCCATTTTCGAAAATATTGTGGCACCACTAAGCTTAGCTTTGATGTCCTCTTGTCTCGGTATGGGTAAATTAGAGGCTTGAATAGCTTTATTGACATTACGAGCATCAAGGGTCATACGTATTGATCCGTCAGGTTTCGGCGCAATCACTGTGTTAGAAACCCATGGTGCTGGCTCTACAGATGGATGTTCTTCAATTACATCTTGCTTTACCATTTCTTCAATTACTTTCTCCACTCGTTCTTTGAGATGATACGGTACCGATCTTGCTGGTGCTGCAACCGGCTTAATTTTCGGGTCTACATGTAACTTAACTTGATGGTTTCGTAACCTCCCCAAGCCAACGAAATTCTCTGGATAGTTTTTCAAGATGTCTTGAAGAGCTTCCTTCTCATCTGATTGTATCATTCGTACTGGTTGAAAAACGTCGGGCTTCTTCTCGAACTTAATTATTCCTAAATGCCTTGCTGTATGTCCTGCGAGCACCGGTTCACATGAACTATTAATGATATGCCAATCCACAGGAACAGAGGAGTTACCAAAGCTTACAGCACATTTAGAAATTCCTACAACAGGTATCGTTGCACTGTTATATGGTTTGATTTTTGTGTTTGTGTTGACCATCCTCTGTACAAGATTCCATCGTTCTGCCTTTTTAATTCCACATACACTAATGTTTGCTCCAGTGTCTGCCAGAACAGTAGCAAGACTGTTATTAATAACCAATTGGACTTTAGAGTCATCCTTAGCTTGTTGGCTTTTTTCTGTAATTCTAAAAAGGTTGATATTATACACTTCATCTTGCTGAACTTTTTCTGGTTCGTCAGATTTCACTTCATTTACTGTTTTCTTTTTTCTACATACTAATTCGTAATGCCCAACAGCATTACAGAAATTACATTTGCTTGTCTTAGCCCTACAATTCTTGAGATGCTCAATTACAGACCCTTTTATTTCTTGACCACAGTAATAACATGCTCGTGGTTTTCCTGTAACTGTACGCGGCTTCTTGTTCATGTTCTTATAGGAGTACTTGCCCATCTTGTTCACCATATTCTCACCACTAAGCTCTTCAACACCTTTCGCCGCACTTTCAATATGCATGCCTTCTCTGCGCAGCTCTTCTAGGCCCCATGCATTCTTAAGTGCTTCTTCTCTTATTTTGTCGTTAATTGTTCCAATAATGATTTGGTCTCTGATAGCTGTACTTTCTGCCGTACAGTCCTCGTGCTCACATTTAAAGTTACAATGTTTTGCTTCCTTGCATACACGATTGTAGAAAGCTGGGAACGTTTCATTTGTCGCTTGTGTCAGTGTACGAAATTGATGATTTTTCAGCGTAAGATTTTCCGTTGGTTTGTAATACTTCTGAATTTTATCGACGAACTCTCTCCATGTTGTTTTCTTTCGGTTTTGTTCATTTGGTTCTGCGACTTTCCAATCTTCATACATTCTTTTTGAGGAAAACATACCAAGTAATTTTGCGACTTTATCTTTCGATCGCCATTCCTCTCTTATCACATCGTATTGTTCGAGATCGAATTTCGTATCTGGATTTGTAAATTTCCAGCGTTCAATAGCTGAATCGAGGGAGACTTTTGGTGGGTCAGGATACTGAACTCATATGATTGAATAAACTCATTGAAAGCTTTTAAAGTATCATCCGGATGACTATCAGGGTCAAAATAAAGCGTTGCTGAACGTCCATTATCTCAGTGGCCATTATGAAGCAAGCAAGTATGAACAAACTTTATACGATTATTTTTGTTCTTTGACCTTAGCTGCTCGAACAATTTTCATAGGCAAATAATATCTTCTTATGAGAAAAGAATCCTCGTCGCCAAATGTATTTTATGTTGTATTTCTTTCTTCTTATACTTCCAAAAAAGTCTAGCTACTTGAGATTTACATTTTAAAGATCGCCATCCTGAATTCTATCCATCTAATGTTCCCCCGCGACCCTTTTTATCCTTTCACAAGTTAATTATCATAAAATTACAATATATATAAATAAACATACATTAGAGCCAATCAAATTTCGTGCAACATAGGGCTTTCTGTGTTTGACGTCAGTATAAGAAAGGTGCATATTGTGGGCGTACATTCATATATTTGTTTATCCCCAACTTATTTCTTTTGTAATTGCTATTGTTGCTATAATATGTAAACATGAATGTATAAATATACACCCTCCAATTAAGCTGTCTAGCCATGGCACTGAGGCAAAGTTAATGTAATGAAAACTACCTTCAGGAATACAAATATTTCATGTTCTGAAACTACACTTTCTGATGCAAGTTTAGAAGGCAAAGCAATTGACAAAATGGTTAAAATTTGTAGATCTTTCACTCAAACTTGCTTTCAAATCAGGCTACCATATAAAAGCCAACAAGATTTCTCTCTTATTTAAAAGCCCAGCATTTTAATTCCAGCAGTTTTGACATTTATCTTCCGAGCAATTTCGCGTTTTAGTTGAGCGATTGTCCAGGATGGTTGAAAACGAAGGTTAAATTATCTGCCGTTAAAGTTTACGGTCACGTCGTGCGACATATTTCGCTAGAAAAGCTCGTGTATTCCCTTGCAATTGAGAGAAAATTATTCAAAATATTTTGCTTCGAAACGAAAGTTTGGAAAAGAAATGTTTGAAAACTGAAAGTTTAAAACGACGGTTGCTTCCACTTACCAAAACAAACCTCCTCTTTTTCCTTGAAATTTCACTCCCGGAAAGTTTTCTGATCTCTAGATACAATGGAATATTCAGCGTTTTCTAAGTTGGCAATCAATATAATTTTAGGGTTAAATTTAGGATTAAGTTTAACTCTATTTAACAATAAACCTAAAACCTAATCTTAACCCTAATCGTAACATAATCTCATATAATCAATAAGTCTGACGGATAGTTTTTTTAACTCACTAACTGCCAAAACAAACTTCCTCTTTTCCTTGAAATTGCACTCCCTATCAGTTTTCTGACCTCTTGGAACACTGGAATGTTTAACGTTTTCTATGTTAGCAGTATTATTCCATTTAATCCTTAAGATTCGGTTAGGATTAGGGTTGAATTTAGGATTAGGTTTAACCCTATTAAACTATAAACCTAGAACCATGACCTAGAACATAATTTTAACCCAATTCCTGAGATAATCCTAAAGATTAAATTCGTGTAGTTAGGATTTAGTGAACATGGAGTTTTATATTAAAAACTATCGCAGCATCGTCAGCACTTTTGAAAGTGTAAATTCGCATTTTAATAGAACAAGTTAAAGCTTTTAGAGTCAACTTTAAATTACTGCGAAGACTGTATCTATATTCAGTCTATACAGCGAGGTTTATACTACAGAGCGACAAACAACACAGAACTTGCTTTATTATTACGACACAAGAACGACGTGAAATAGGCTTTCATGATTGTTTTACACTAATACTTCAAATATCTCGCGGTAATGAAAATGTAGCTGGTCTCTATGCATATTATCACTGCAATTTTTGCAATAATATTTAGAGAAGCTGCAATCTTCGCAACGAGTTTTTACGGCCTCAGAACAAGTTGACTCGCTACATTTTGACGGAACAAAACCTTCAATTGCTAGTGATGTCCGCAGTAACTGCAGCCTTTTCCCCTCCCAA